AAAATAAATATGGAAACGAATATGGAAAGTGTACAATTCAGTTTGTACTACAGTATTCATATATGCAGATATAATAGAAAAAATAATTAGTGTCTCAGACTGTCAGTGAGTGCTATTCTGCTTCTAAAACCCTGAGTGTTATTGGTTAGGGGGAGCGAGATAATGATAGAAACATCCTGTGAGACTGTAACCCAAGCGTTTTGGTGGTTGAACTTGAGGAAAGGGCACATATTATCAGCCGTATTCCATTCTCAATTCACTACAGGAGACTGTAAGAGAAATGGTCTAAAAACGGGCAATCAATAATTTGTATAGTGAACACAGTGTGCTGTTAAGTGGTCTAATCTTCAGATCTCTTCAAACATAAGGTGATACAGAAGAGGAATAACTACCAAGGAGAAAGCAACCTGAAGTGTAATTCATAAGAACAAAGACTGAAAGGGAAGTAGTACTACATTATTTTTGCATTAGAAAACTTGATATGTCACAGAGCTTAGCTGGTCATTCACAAAGCATTTGCTGCAGTAAAAGCTTGTGCAGGAACGTATTTGATTCAGCCACAAAACCACTGATGTCTTCAGCAGAACACTTGCTGTCATGCATCCTCCTACTGAATAAAGTTTTGTTTTGCATAGCAGAAGTAGACTTTTCCAGTTACTGAGGATGTTACCGACTGCCTTTCCTAGCTTGCTTAAGTCCCCACATTGCTGGAAAGAGCTATTTAGGTGACATCCTGCTATCAAGTGATCAGAATCACCCAACAAGAGAATGAGTACATGTGACAGTGTTAAAGACCTAAGTAACCATCTCCAGAAACTCTTTAGAAGCATATATTTAAAATGGAGACACAACCTGGTAATTCCTCTATCAGTGTTTTTACAACAGTAATGATATAAAATCTCATTGGTGTTATAAAGAACACAAGCAAAAATACACCCGCTCAGTTTTGAAGGCTGAATTAAGCTTTACCATTCTGGCATCATCAATCTGTAAAGTAAATTTCCCACAGATGCTGTGGATATCCCATGCCTGGAAGTGTTCAAGGCCAGTTTGGGCAGGGCTTTGAGCAACCTGTTTGAGTGGGAGGTGTTTCTATCCACGGCGGTGGGGCTGGAATTATTAGATATCTATAAGATGCCTTCCAACCCAAACCATTCAGTGTTTCTATGAATTTAACAGAATCTTAAAGTCACCGAGATCCATCAGGCCAGAAAGGGCAGTTGTAAAGTTGTAACCACTTAAACTGAGCTGGGTAACGTGGACCATAACATTTCTCAGAATTAATTTGAATTAAAATTTAATTTCACTTAATTAAATTAATCTTTTAGGGGGAAAATCTGATCTCAGTTTCAAGCCAATGGGTTCACACATGTGAGGGAATAGTCCAGGGAAGAATTTTTCTTGGGGAAAGGGCTAAGTAACCTGAATAACAATGATATTGCTTTTGTCTCCTTGTACTGGCCAAGTGGTGATTAGGTCTGAACCTGATTTTTAAGGCAATCACACATTTCCAGGGGTGACTCACTGAGTGAAAAGAGAGTTTGCAGTACTGTGGGTCTGAGTAGCTTAGCAGACTGTCTATAAAGTGAGGGAAGAAAATAAGAAGGGGACGAAGAAAAAGCCAAAGAGAGAGTAGAAGTTGGAATTGGAAAAGCAATTCCAGTTCCAGATAAAACATTTCATTACATCTGATGGTTTTAAAAGCAGTTTGCCCAATGATTTTTTATTTAACAAGGCATTGTGTGAAACATGGCATAGCTCCTTACAGGAAATAAAGAACAAGAAATCTACTTATTTCTCGCATACTTGTATTGACAGTGGTATGAAGTTGTAATGTGGAAGTAATAGCTCCGAAGCACAGCAACCTTGTGGTATTTCCTTCTGGAGCTGCACAACATTATCTAAAAATGAGAAAATGAGACTGCTCAGACTGGAAGGATGTTGCTGACTCCTAGAAGTTATGCCGGCTTTTTTTTTTTTTTTGGTCTTTTTTTTTTTTTAATGCAAGTTTTTATTAAATGTCTTTAGTGTACTGACATAATTCAGACCTTTGCTCACAGGGAGATATTAAGGTCCCTCTGGGGAGAGCTGGGGCCAAAGCACAAAGTGTTGAGCATCTGCTACCACATCCGAATTCAGCACTTCTCAATTTCTCTCCTTTTCATTTTCCACAAATGCTGTGAAGAAAATGAAGTCCAAGATGTGCATTCCATGTGTTTTCTATTTGAGATGAGGAGACAAGACTGAAATGAAGTTCCAACAAGGCAAGAGAATGTTCTGTTTTCTTTTCTCTAGAGGTTTATGCTTGACCTTATTGTTGTTTTATGCTATTGCTAACTCACCTGGGCTGATGCAGAAAACAAAATCCTGAAAGCCCCATAAACCAGCAGAGGATGCCTTGGCATTGACTGAGCAGAACCACACCAAGTCCGTCCTAAGGTTTGCTCTCTTGGGTTGAGGATGGACAGTGCAACAAGCCAGCGGGTACCTGGAGATGTTTCATGTCCTGAATGTGACTTCTGCTGTGAGGTGTCTGTACACTGATACACCTGGGGAAGCACTCGATTGCCAGGTTTAATGAACATCTCCCCTAGAACGATGTTTTTGTTGACAAAGAGTATTCCTTATTTGAATTTGGTTTAATTAAAACTTGAGTAGTTTTTCAGTAATTCTGCCCTTTACAGGTGGGTTGGAGGCCTGTTCCTGAGACGCTCTTTGTTGCACGAGTCAAGGTGACGAAGTGATTTTCAAAAAGTGCATTTTCACTTTTCTTTTTCTGTATTCTTCTCCTATTACTGAAGTCCAGTTTACTTTACCCCTTTTTCCCCTTCCTCAGTCACTGATAAGATTTTTCTGCAGTTTCTCTCTGTTTCTCGTGGGGTCAAAGACTGATCTGTCCCGCAGCACTGCGCTTCACCGGAGAGCTCTGTGCAGCCCCATGCACACCAGAGAAGCAAAGCATGCTGAGGAGCTGCCAGAGGCTGACAACTGAAAGGCACAAGTGGGGACAAAGCAGAGCAGGGAGAGTGATATGGGAACATTAACACTTGTAAGGTATCCTCTTCTTCCCTCCCCTTGTTTTGAAGAAGGGAAAGAAGCTGGGCCTTTGTCCAAAAAAGCACTTAAGTGTGTGCTTCACCTTAAAACATGTGAGAAGTCCCTTTACCATCTTCGTCTACTCCTACGGTTTTCTGTTACCTGGATGTTCGTTTAACAGAATACGTTTTCATGTCTTTCACCCAATACTTAGGGAAGATGATCCATATATTTTACTTTCTGAAAATATGAAAATATATTTGTTATATCACAGCTGTGCAAATAAGCTTCCAGGAAACTTAACACGGGGCTTTTATCGTTTGGTAGGTTGCTCCACCCCTTGATTAACAGGGGAAAGTTATCACATGGAAAAAAATATAGAGAGATTGTTTTGATCTGATCTTGTATGGGATTGAGAAAGGCAAAGGATTAAAGAGTCTTATACATAAAGCTTGGCAGCAACTGTCGGGAACAAAAATGGAAATAGTTTAAGAGAACAGTGCAGGCAATAACTCACTTGGGGGGTCGGCAGAGGACCAGAAGAAGTGGCCAGACTGACATTGCTTGGTTTTATTAACTCATCCATAATTAGCCCATAGCTTAGATACAATTTAGCTTGTGCCATATGGGCTAATATAGTGCTGAAAGTTACCCCCCATGCAGGTGACAGTCTGTCACACTGAAGGAAGATTAGCATAAAACAAACAACAATGCACTCTTAATTATAGCAGCACCATTTGCAACGCCATACTTAAGGATGTATAAGCACTTCCATAATAACCTGATCTTCAAGATTTTATTAAGTAGACATAAAAAGCATGTGCAAGGCATCCATACACCTCATATAGCCCAGCAAATCTTTGCTTCAGTTCTCTGAGAAACTCTTGTTTATTTGATTGTTTGTTTATTATTTTTATTACTTTCTCTTTCTTTCTATTTTCTTTTTTTTAAATTTATTTTTATTTATTTTTTCTCCAAATGGTGTCAATGCCCGATGCAGGTATTTCTTTGCAGCCCTGCTCGTTTTCCTTGGAACAATGTGTGGAATGAGTTGATGTAGATAAAACACATTGGGCAAATAGATGCGGGTGTTTTCTGCTTTGATAAAGGCACAACATTGTGACTGTTAAGCTCAAATAAAAATGAGAAAGCTACACTGTATGTGTGTATCAACTTGATTAGAACTCTTTATAGTATGTATGAATCTAACCAAATAGCAATGGTGTAACTATGTAGGCAGTGGATGCTCTGTGAGCGTAATTTATACTGGGAAGAAAGTAAGCCACTCTCTTTATTGATTCCTCTTTATTGAATAGAAATTGCACTATTAAAATGATACCCATGTGTTGTTGATACGTCCTGCATTTATGTTAATTTGGCTACATATTGCCAATATTTTCATTTTAAAATCAAGAAGGAAATTCTGTGCCAAAGCCTTTTCCAAATTGTACTGAGCTTTTGACACAAAGCAGCAGAAGCCATTAGCATTCTCAGTTAAGGCTGATCAGTCATGCTGTTGAACCATTTCTTCTCTTCCCCCCAACATATTTGCTTTCCTGTGTTTTCCAGATAAAAGGGAAGCTCTCCCTCCAATAAGTTTTACAGACTTTTCTTTTGAAAGGCAGCCTAACCATTTTCAATGTTTTAAATGAAGTGAGTTTTGTTATGCAGACAGGAGCTAATTTTTTTTTTCTAGCTCTCATCGGCTATTTATGTGACTCTATGGTTTTCAAATGGTATAATGCTAGACGATGCCAAATGTCCTGCCATTTAATAACCAGTAGCATACAGAGCTCTTTTCAAAATGCCACCACTTTGAGCATCTGTTGTTATTAAGTAAGATGATCAAATTTTGTACAGGACTTCAATTTTGCTTTTCACATCACTTATAGAGCAAGAATAATATGCAGTCTGTGTATAAAACTAATGTGCTGGGATCATTGAGCCAATTGCTGGTTTTTGTGTTCTGCTTTATTGCAGATTGTAAAATAAACTTTGGCCTTTTTTTAATAAATGTTATAAAAATGCTCTGTGAATCAGGAGAGTGTCAGCAATTAAAGCAATTTAACATCATAATAATTAAAAATGCAATACTCCAGCGTAGTCGGTACTGGTTCCCATAAAAAGCCACATTGTTGGTCCTTAATAATTACATTATTTGACAGACATGCTAAAGAAGAGGAAAAGGTGCACATTGTTAGTATCAGATGAGCAACTAATTCTTATTGTTTCTGGAAATTGCTCTAAAATCCTTTACTGTTGCTGTCTTTCAGCTAACAGATGTGCAGGAATGTCCTCGGCTCACCATTGCTTTTCTCTCCAGCAGAATATGACTGACAACACAACAACACAAGGGAACAGCTGGGTCGAAACACATAATATTTTCCTGGTAGAGAAAGAAGCTGATTAGGCTGTGGAGTACCTAATTGGGTAAGATGCCCCTCATTTTCAAACTATAAAATTCAGAGAGTGTGTAGCAGCGAAGAGAGGATGGGCTGGCAAGAGCCGTATGTTTGTCCTGCAGCACAACTGGACCTTTACAATGAGTGATGCTTTTACAGCTGTGTTGTGGGAACGTTCCTGAGCCTGATGTTGTGGAGGGCCAAATTCTTGAGAGGGGACTCAACTGAGCTGTAGTAGCACTGAAATTACACCTCTGTATCTCAGTCCATTCTCCATTCTCTTCCTAAGTTTGCAGAGACAGAAGGGCAGAGTTCCTCGTGAGGTTCATTTTTGTCAGGGAAAAATAAAATGAAAAAAAGCACAAATTTGTGATGCAGGTACATATGCAGATATTTCTTTCTTGAATATCATCACCAGAGCATGATTCTTCCCTGGCTTCATTGACTTCTATGGTAGCTGCAGACAAGCAGTGCTGTGGGAGCTGTGTTGTCTCCTGTCTGGGAAGAGATGGAGAAGTTCTGGTGGCAGGACTGTGGCACAGGTAGAGCTGGCATCCTCACATCCCCTGAAAGAGATGGAGTCCTGTGAGATTTTTAAGGAGAGTTAAGTCCATCCTTGATCCTGCCTCTGGAAATATCAGAAAATAGGGAATGAAAACGGACTTAAAATGTGCTGATGAGACTTTCTTTGTCTTCCTGGAGAGTCTGGGAGCTTTCTCTGTTCTCACATCTGTCTGTGGAAACATTCCCGGACTTTGGCAAACTGATCTTTTTCATTTACTCCAGCTTCTTTATTGCTATTAAATCCTGGAATTTTATTTTTCTGTTATTCTAAAGTTTAGCTTTGAAAGTCCAAGTCTGCTATCCCACAGCCAGCCACCCTGCCAGCAGGCTCTAGGAGTGAGCTGCATGAGCAGAGGAAAATACGGTCATGAGAAAGTTGCCACCAGTCCTGCATGCAGTACATATTTACCCATAAGACAGCCTGAGTTGAAAATGTACTTTTTTTTTTTATTATTATTATTATTATTTGTACTTTCACAAATGTTCAAGCAAGTGAAGAGCTCCTCCAAACAGAGCATGGTGTGAGAGGAGAGCTGCTTAACATTTGGTGTGTTCAGCAGGGCAAGGAGGCAGCTTGGCAGATGCACTTTGCACACCCAACAGCAGCTCTTGGCCATGGTGGTGCTTCTGGGCACCCCGAGCCCATGCCTTGGCATCAGCCACTCTGAAAGTGGAGTGTCCTTTTGGAAAAAAGATGCAATATAAATTTCAAACCAGGTCTTGTAAAGTCCCACATCATATCTCAGCAAGACTGGAAATCTATCTAAGGTAGGGTAAAATCAGTTGGCCTGAAAATCTCATTGCTCTGATTTCTCTTAGCTTTGCCTTGTGCATTCTGTCACTAGTAGCATTTACTGTTCTTCAGGGAAACTAATGATTCACCAGCAGAAGCTAGATCTTGGGATAAAGGAATAATAAATATTTGTGAAGTTCCTGATACATAGGTTAAACCACGTCAAAACTGACTTGAAGGTAAACAAATCAAAGTGTCCCTCAGAACATGGCCAGAAGGTGAGTTTCTGCAGAAGCATCTTGTCTACAACATCTCCAGCAAATGCTTTTTCTTCCTGAGGTCTTGGCCTTGAATGATGGAAAACTCCAGTCAGGAGGAGCACAGCCAGTGAAGAGCAGTAGCGTTACCAGTGCAGGTTTGGGTCCTGGGAGGAGCAGCACACCCCAAAGACCAGGTACGAGTGCTTAAAAACAGTGAAAGCATCTGAGAGGCCAGAGCCCCTCCTGAAGCCTTCCTATCTTAGATGCAATTCATATGTGTGCAATTATTTCAGTTCAAATATTAACCTTAGATTTTAAACAGATTATCATTTTGTAGGAAAATACCAATAATTGCATGACAGAAAGGGATTTGATTTGCAGCTATGGAAAACAATCTGCTTCTCGAACACCAGAAGTGTCTTTAGGTGGAAGTATAAAAGAACAACATTATCTCGTGATTAACCTGAATCAAATAATGGAAATACAATTCCATCTGCCCTAGAAATCATAAATAATAAATACATTATTAAATCAATAAACTGCGTACAACAATGAATTTTAAATTTTATGTTGTGATTAGAGCCAGTTCTTTCTTTGGGATGTATTAAGCTATATTCACAGCACATTCCACTCTTTTCATTATTATTATTATTTTTATTTTTTTAATAGGTGATCTGTTTCTTTTTCAGGAAGTTCATGTGAAGTTTCTGAACCTCCACTTTGCCCCTTGGGGAGAAGCAGCCCGGAAATAAGGTGAAAGTGTTCTGAAAGAAACAAGGAAATCTCAAAAGGAAAAAAAAAATAGCACATTATAGAAATACTGGTAAATAAAATATAACCAACGAGCAGCATGGGAAGCAGGTTTAACCCATGGCACACCAGTTTTCCTGTAGTGCCAGCCAACTCAATGTTGAATGTAGAATATCAAGTAATATGGTTTATATGTATTAGTGACATTAAATATGATATAAACATGAATGGATTAAATTAGAAGAAAACATAGTGTACAAAGGACAAGTGTATGAAATCAGTGCTATTTGAGCCTTTTGTGATAGCTGACAGCAAAAACAAAAAACAAAAACAAAAAAAGGAAGAAAAAGTTGAGATTCAATAAGAAAAATAATATCAATATTTTAAAAAGTTAGATTTTTGAAATCTGTCATGGTTCAAGAGGCTTTTGTTGTATGGTTCTGCATTTGTTTGGCAGATGCATTTGCGAGACCTTCCACTGCTCTATAGAAAACTTGAAAGAAATCAATATTTTATTGTTACATTAATTTACCTATTGCTTTAAAACACCTCTAGAAACAAATACAGAAGTGCTTAGGAAATCTAGGCTTATGCAACTAAACTGGACCTTGTGTCTTCTGAGTTTTTGCAAAGGGTGTTTTACAAAATCTGAGTTCTTTGTCCCAGATCTGGACAGACACTTCCAACACAGCCCACAACCTCTGCCTTGAAACACGGTCGGTCATCCGGGAGGTGAGGAGGTGAAGTAAAGCCAAAGGAGTAAAGCAAGAAAGGGTAAGCAGGAATTCAAACCTCGTATTGCTATATAACTTTACCCTGGGTTGCCTCCATTGATATGGGGTTGTCGTGTTGTGTCCAGCACCAAGGAGACCTCAGCATCCTCCATCCCTAATGTATTTTTAACAATGTGCACAAAACTCCCAAGTATTCATTCATTTTCTCCACGAAATGTGGAGAAAGATTGCTTTTTTCCTAGATTGCTTTTTTGCTTTTTTTTTTTTTTTTTTTTTTTTTTTTTCCATTGTCAAGATCTGTGAAGGAATTATTTGTTCACTTTTTCCAGCAGGACTGTAACTTCTGTGGTTTCTCTAGATATTAGCTCTAGATCTCATACAGGCAGACTTGGTCAGCACAAAACCTTTAATTATAACTCTTGTCATTTCTACCAAGTCTGGGTATCCACTGACTACTACCATAGTGTTGACTTTTTCTCTTTTTTTTTTTTTTTTTTTTTTTCCATGCCTTTTCCTCGAAATGTTTTAAAATTGTGGGTACACTTGTGTATTTTGGATTCTACCATTCTTTTCTCGTAAAGAAGCTACAGAGGGGATAAGAATGGCTTTGCCAGCATGGTTCATCATGATGGATCTTGCAGGCTTATGAAGGGATTTGTGCTTGTCCTTGAGCATCCCTTAGCTGCAGGTGCCTCCCTCCATCGTTGTTCTGTAGCCAGGTCAACCCTCCACAACACCAATTTCTGTCATCTCTTCAGTGCTGGGCACTAATCCTTCCCTCTCTGGTCCTGTTCTCGCACAGCCAGCACACCAGCATCACCCAACCCATGGGTTTCAAAAGTCTGACTGGATTTAGAGGATGTGAGAAATCTTGACATTCAACTTGACAACGTTTCCGCTGTCAAGCTTGTGCTCCCACAACTTATTTTTTAATGCAAATCAGAAGATGATTAGCTGTTTTCTCTCTTCATTGTGTTTATTTTCTCTTGTTGTCTCGGCTGTTTTTCACGCCTCGTCTTGGCTGAATTCTCTCCCATTTTTCTCCCTTCCTGTGTCTTTCTGCTCTTGCTCTGTTCTCTGCCCTTTGTTCTCAGTTGCTGTTTTCCCCCTTCTTCCCTTTTGTGCCTCTCTTGCATATTTTCTGGTGCTCTATCATCTTTGTTCTTTGTCTCTTCTTTTCTTTGTCTTTTCATTTTGCGTATCTTTGTTCTGTGTCCTCTTTGGTGTCTCCCTGTTCTTTGTCTTCTCTTTTTCCTTGTTCTTTCTTTTCCTCTGTCTGTCTCTTTTTATGATTCCCTTTTATCTTCGTTGTGTTCTGAGTAGGTTTGTCTTGATCTTTGTCTTTGCAGAGAACGTGCTCAAATGAAGACAAAACACACCATTCAAACAGAAATTGCTTATTAATTATAACATGGACACACTGCTGAAACCCAAGCCTCCCACAAAGCCTGCAATCCAGCTCAGAGGTGTTCACAGGCCAGCGTGGGATGTTCTGGTCATCTGAGCTCTGCATAGGGCCCAGGCTTTGCTGTGGGCCCTATGGGATTGAGCACCCAAGATTTAAACCACATCCTAACCCATTCCTCTCTGTGTGGCTGTCAGGTGATAAATCCATCCTAACCTTCACCACTGACCCATCGATACTGGGCTGAAAATATCCCAACTTGAATTATACGGCAGCTAGAAGTAAAAATGGGTATTTTGGTCTCCAGTATGGAATCCACATGATCTTCATGTCCCAATTGTACTACTTCCTCCTGTGGTGGGGCCTGTAATTTACTGAAGATGTCTTTGACCTACATCATCAGTGTGAAGTTATCAGTTGCTTCTAGAAGGAATGTTTTAATTTACTAACCTGCTCTACTGGGAATGAGTATAAGCTACAGCCATGCAAAAAGCAGGATTTCTTGGTACACATTCACGAGTTATTTGTTCAGATTTGAAAACAAAAAATAAAAAGTCTTAAAAGTGTGACAGTAAAATCACAAGCAGAGTTATTTTGTTAAAGGAACTTTTATTTAGTCCTCCCCAAGTCTTTGGGGATTTCTTTCAGATTAGTAAAGATTGGTAATGATTTCAAAATTTAAGCTTCAAACCATAATAGTTCACATAAATAAACTTTAGCTTTCTGTTCATTTTCCCTCTCATTTCTCCCTTGTAATAATCCAGTGAAATCTCTCTGTGCATGATAGTTGATTAATTCTCATTAAGGTCTTGTCTGAGAAACAGAGCTTGCCCTATCTTTGAGCTTGCCCTATTGCTTGCTGTTCATCTCCTTTATTTTTTCTTCCTTTTTTATTTTTTTTTTTGGTCTGTAGGAGGGCTGCGAGAGCCATGTTATGTTGTCAAGCCACAAAATCAATGAGCTGGGAGAAGCTTCTCAAGGCAGAGGGGCCAGGTGCTTGTGGGGATCTGCTGCGGCCTGTGGTGGTCCATGGCACCCCATCTGCACCAACATCTTTCTAGGCACATTCACACTCCATTCCCTTACCTTTGCTGTGAAATTGTCACTTCCTTGGCTGGGCTGCAGTATATAAATAGAAATCTCATATCTTCTACCTGCTGTGCTCTGGGGAAGCCCAAGAACACCCGGCACATTGCATTTCTCTGCAAGCTGGCTGTAGGACCCGGCCACAATATTGCAGCAAATAACCTGGGTCTTATGTGAATTGCCCTGAATCTGGGAAACACGGCAGGTTCCCCCGGGACTGCAAATCGAGTTGAGGTCAGCCTGGGCTGTTCCTGCTGCTGGCACCTTTATGCTGGTGTTACTGGCCACCATCGGCATCCCTCACTGCAGTGACAGAGTGGGACACAGGGCAGGGGCTCTTCCCTGTCTGGTCCCTGTATGTGTACTTTTGAGGGAGGACAGGTGATTTCCCATTCTGCATAAATATGCTCTGATTACACGTTTCCCCAGATAGATATTTTTTTTTTGTCTTAATAACATTGATTTAAATTATGCTTAAATATTAATAAAGTGATTTAAGACCAGGCCGCTTAGGCCAAATGCACATTAAAATTCCCCTTCTATTTTCCCTCTTTTTAAATCCTCCTTCTTCAGTTTATTCCCTGTGGGAGGGTTTGGGTCCTGAACTCATTGTGCGATCTTCAAACACATAATAAGAATTAATCACCATTAGTCCTCTATTTTAACAGCTGCTTCCTACCCCCCGAACCAGTACAGCTGCAAACTTCCCTCCCTCTGCCGACACCGTAAGCCCATTACAGCTGCAAACTTCCACACGTAAAACGCAGATTTAAGCTTCTTCTGAAACAACTCACATCTTGTGATGGCGCAGGTCCGTGGCAGAAGCGAACCACTTCTTGGTATTCACAGGGACATCACCGCGATTTATTTGTCAACAGGGAGAGGAGGTTTGCCTGCTCGGGGAAATTTCCCTTTTTCACTCTGGGTTGTGGGCTTTCTTCTACTTTCTCCGTTCTAATATCTGCCCTTAGATCGTAATTATTTTATTTTTTTACTTTTTAGCATTAAGGTTTGAGATAGATAATTATTTTGCTTAATAGTAAATTTCACTGCAACGTGCCCAGAGGGATATGAAATAAAAGGTATTTAAAAATCTACCATGTTAGAAAAGTAAAATAATTTCAGCTAATGAGATTATCAAGGATAATCGGTTTACAAAAGCCCATTATGCGACAGATTCATTGATGTCTTAAAACAGAAAAGGAGAATCCTATTTATTTTTTGAAATGGTGTAGAATAAATTGCTTTTCAGAATGTAAAAGGCTGTTTTTCATTTTATTTTTTTTTTAAATGTGATGATTTCTGTAGCCCCATCTGCTGTTCACTGTCGGAAGTATCCAGAGGAAGATTTGGTAAAACACATATTTTTCTGCTGAAAATTGGAATAGGTGAGAAATGAGCTGTGGGTTTGACTCAGGACAGTAAGGAAGGAGCTCCTCTCCTCCAGGCCTGGTGGTGAAGGAGTTACAGAGCAGTGGTGATTATCCTGCCACATCCAGCCATGATGGAGGGCATATTTTGGGCACACAGCTCACTCCTGCTGCCAATTCTCCAGGGATACAGGAGGAGGAGGAAGAAGAACAGAGAAATAGAAGGGAAAAGGAGAAGAGGGGGGAGGAGGAGGAGGAGGAGCAGGAAGAGGAGAAGCAGGAAGAGGTTGCTGCAGCCTATGTGGAGTTCCTGTTAATCTGACAACTTCCTTACCTTAGAAAACCCAAATTGGTCTCACAGGAGAACCAGGGTGGGATAGGCCAGGAGAAGACAGATGACTGCAGTGGCTGCAGCTCTGCAGAATACACAATAGGGTCACTTTTTATGTTGTGAGAGTTGATCGGGAAATTTTCCACTGGGCCCAACCTGTTAAGAATACTTCCTTTCCCCCCAAACATCTATGAGACTGGTGTTAGATTTGGGCTATGTCTCCTCATAGAAGTGGAAGGGTTGACTTCCCAAGGAGAGCTGCAAAAATACTCCAGGGCTACCATGGCCTTATAATGTCCCAGACAGACTGTAGGGCTAAATTACAAATAAGCAACAACAAAATCACTGATTTGTGCATTACATGAATTGAAATACACGCCCATAAATCTGCAGACTTGAACAATACTATAGCAGTGTCTATTTTATTTGTTTTATGTAGTTTATTGCTTCAACCATGCATTTGGGGCCACCTGGAGTGTGCCTGCTGGGTCTGGTGCAGTCTCCTCCAGGACTTCCCTTCTGCTTGGCGATGATGCAGAAGGTGACTCTTCAGTAACTAACACAAAATGATTTCAGACTTGTATAAATAATATACGTGTTCTGTCTTCCTTTGATTGAATGATGAATAGCATTTAGAGTGATTGATTCGCCGGCTTGAGCACACAGTGGCGGCTGGAGCAGTTTGTGATGTCCTTGGGTCTCCTGAAGTGGTCCTGCGTCTCCTGTGGCTTGGTCTTGTGGTGGCAGCATGCTCCTCCGGCAGCCCCTTAGCACCACACGAAGGCCTGGCCTTGGTTTGGCCACCAAAAGGGACATGGGACCAGGCAGCCCCCAGCACACCCACGCTGCTGTGTGCTGTGCCTGCACCCACTTTGAAATGCAGCTCCCGCACGGGGCCTTATGCTGCAGCTCAGCCTGCTGCTCCGGTGGCTCCCTCTCATTTCCTCTGATATTTAGCAGAAAATAATTCTGCAATGAGCTTTACTTAAGCAGCAGGGTAGATTAAAAAATGAAATATGTTTAGCAAGATTTGGGGGGAAGGCTGGAGTAATTAATTTTCAATAATACCTGGCATTTCTAGAACTCCTTTCATCCCAAGATCACCAAACAGTTTACAGACATTAATTAATTAAAGCATTATGATGCCCCAGTGTGGGGCCATTGCCTGCGTGTCTAACTCAGACAAACTCCCTCCAATTCCCCGGACGGGCGAGTGCTGCACGCAGCAGTGTCTGCACCAGGGCTATTCCTATGAGTAAATACTGCTCAGCTTTCCTAAGGTTTGCACTCCGTGGCCCTATGCAAATATTTCCCAGTAAGTTTGATTATTTGTCTTTTATTCTCTATCAGGAAAACCCCAAATATCTCAGCAATAAGATTTCCAGCCTGTGTGTGTGCAGGAGGGCAGTTCTGATGATTAGTTTTTGATTCAGTTTCCCATCCCCGCTCCTGAAACTCCTTTTGCAGGCTCAGAGCCGGGCATACATTTTAAGCTTCACTTTTGGGGTGAGCTCGCTGTGGATTTTTGACAGGACGGTAAATTCCGTGGGAAGGAAGGAGGTGATCTGAGCACGCCCCAGAGGGGTCCACATAACGTCACACTCCTGGAAATCCCCCTGAAGTACAAGTTCAGTGAAATCTTATGAAAGCTATAGATTATACAAACTTTCTCCACTCCGATGATTTGATTCATGAACGTGTAAATAGATAGATAGATAGATCCATCATGGAAATCCCTGGGGAACAATGCAATGGTGTTTGTGATTGGAAAAATATTATAAAAGAGCTCACGTAGAGCCAATAGTTAGGCAGTTTTGTAGTGCTGAGATAAATAGAGAAGAAATGATATTTCATGATCATATTTTTAAAGGACATTGGAAGTTACCAAAGCAGGAGAAATAGATGTCCTGCAGGGACTGTCTGCACTCAGGGCCATTCCTATGCGGTGCTGCCACCGGCTGGGCACCTGGGGCCCAGTACCCTCACCCTGGCTGTCCCGGGAATTTGGGATAGCAGGTTCACACCGTGTTCATTAACAGTGCCCTCACCTGAAGTGTCTGACTCCATCTCTTGGCCACCTCGGCCATGGGATGATGCTTTCACTTGCCATAAGGCCTTCCAGTTTGGCTGGGATATTCAGCAGCTGTCACCTGGACCAGTCCTGAAGCATGTGTATCTAAGGGAAGAGTGGGAAAAAATAAACTGATTTTTGTTGTTGTTGTTCAAATGAACAACATTCCCTTGGATTGGCTTTCCCCTTGGATTGGGTACTTTCAGATAAACCAAATGAAAATCATCATCAAATGCGAATTCCCTTGCAGTATCAGTGGTCAGGCCAGCATCTAGCTGGAGCCCTGGCTGGCTAGGTGGGCCAGCTCCAACTTTTCATTTATTCCAACTTAAAACCAGGGTTGAAAGGTGAGGCCATGCTTGGGCAGGAGGCACCACCTTGTGCTCACGCCGGGGCAGAGACGAGCATTTGGAAAAACCTTTGGCAAGTGCCTCAGTACCTTGGTGTCACAGCAGGTTCCCCCCAGGAGGACGTCAATGGTGCTGAGCAGCGTGGAAGCCGACAGAAATGCTCATGGATGTTGGGGAAGATGCTGTGCCAAGCAGGAGGCTCCAACCGATAGCGGGGAGCTGCCCTCCTACCGGCTGGTTTACCGTATGGAAAGTGCATCATCGGGGAGTGCCGCGACCGGGAGATATGAGCAGAAATTCTTAAGTAAACACAAGTGACATTTGGCATATAAATAAGTTAGGGAATACTCTTGCACAAGCAGCGCAGGTCAACAGTGATCTTTTATCTCCCATTGTAAAATAGGCAGCTTTAGAAATGTAAAAGCGCCAAGTGTTTGCGGAAGGGGCGGCGGAGGGGAGCGGGGCCCCGGGCGGTGCTGCTGTGGGAGCTGCCCGTGCTGGCAGAACCTGTGCCCCACGGATGGCAGGGAGCCTCTGCAACTTTCTTTTTTTTTTTTTTTCCTTGCATATGATTAATGCATAACAAGTCCCTTCAGAGGGTAAATACTGATCTGAAATAGCACAGTAAACAAATAACACGGGAACAGGCTTAGAGTGTCTACACGCACACATCTATAAAATGCATCGCATCCACACCCGCGCACCCGCGCTGTTATTGTGTAGGTTAGCTAAGGGGATTTACCTCCTTTTTAATATTTTTGAAGACTGCTTTATGATCCTGTTGACCTGCTATTAGCAAAAGCTTAGCTTTCAACAAAGGTAATTAAATTATAAAATCACTGCTGCAATCATCAAACTACTCATAAAACAAGAAATGAAAAAAAAAAATACCCTGAAATAAAAATCTTGCAGGCTTCTCCTCATGTAATATTGCTCCCTGATGTTAATTACATTTAAATGGGAGAGTACTATTTTGGTATCATTCATACGCCTCCAAAAGTACTTTCCAGTTTATCATACCTGTCAACCCCAGTGCATCACAGGCTAATACTTTATTAAGAAAAAAATCATTAGGGAGCTGCTGATCCCATTTAAGTACATTGGGCAGAATGTAAGACTAATTAAAAAGCATATTTTTACATTATTAATTTCTGAGTTTCACACTTAATGAATGTGAAATGACAGGGCTACTATTTTTATATTCAGGCTCTCTGGGCTCTTCAGCCAGGGGAATTAAATTCTGGGGATTTTTGCAAAGATGCTTCTTGGGAGATTTGTTTTCAAGAACAGCTAAGCTTTTTTAGCTATGCCTTTTTCTGGGAAATTATACCAAAGCATATTACAGCCACTTAAAAAGAGTAGTTAAATAGATGTTGTGTTGGGTTTTTTTTTCATCACACTGCTATAAAAGTATTTTAGATGAGGTATAAAATATGGTTTTTAAATGATATTATGATTTGCAAACACTAAAAAATAATTGCGGTGGAGTTGAGAGAGAGCGAAAACATCTAATCTTTATTGTGTAAGACAATGTGATAAAATATTTTACAGCCAAAAGCTCATTTTGCATCTGGAAAATTGTGTAAACTGATGGGGGGAAAAAATCTCATTAAAACTAAAGGTTATTTTTAATATTCTTCAAACAAAGCAACACATTATAACTGCATTTTTCCTCCTCGTATTTATTAAATTAGACAATTGTACGAATGTCTGACATTCTATTTAAATAAAGACATAAAATGACAGAGACCGTGTGATTAGGCAG